ATAAATACAGTAAGAAAATAACTTTAAATCTCAAACAAAACAAAGTGAGTCAGGGACAGAATTCAAAAATAAGCAATGTAAAAAAGTAATAAAATTAGTGCTTAGATTTGGGGGAAAAGGATCTCATCACAGTTTCCCAGCTATATTTTAAGACTGAAGATACTTTAGCAAGTACATTTTAAAACAATTAGAAATATAATAAAGATGTAAATCTGGTTTATTTAAAAGTAAAATGGTATGGGGATTTAGCTTAGTAGCGCTGCACCTGCCTCCCAAGCACAAGGTCCTGAGCTTGATCCTCAGTACTGAAAAGAAAAAAGTAAAATTATTTGCTCAGTGGTACATAAAAGGCTTCAGAAATTCAAGTTTAACCAAAAAATAAAATGGAAGTATAATCAAAGAAAGTGCACTTACAGCAGTTTGCCAGCAGTTAAAAAGTAGCTTCTATATTGCTTACTATTACACAACTTTTCAGTCACAAAGAGAAGAGTAATAAAAACAATTCTCTTTCAAAAGAAGCACTAAAGGGCTGGGGATTTAGCTCAGTGCTTCTGCCGCCTGGCTCCCAAGTACAAGGTCCCAAGTATGATCCTCTGTACCAAAAAAAAAAAAAAAAAGTAGCACTAAAAATTTTTAAACAAAAATAACCTCCAAAATGATGGCTCTTTGCATTTTTCATCATCTACTGTCTTCTTTTAGTGGCTTTTGTAAACCCTCACTAGGAGTGAATGTTCTTTTAGATACAATTGTAGTTGCAATTCCATTTTTAAAAAATTCACATTAACTCCACAGTAGAGTGATGTGATGTGCATGTGTGTATGTATGTATGTATATATATATATATATATATATATATTTTTTTTTTTGGTACCGGGGATCGAACTCGGGTCCTTGCGCTTGCAAGGCAGGCGGTGGCACCACTGAGCTAAATCCCTGGCCCTTATATTTTTAATCTTAATATATAAAACACCAGTGAGTATAAAAGTTTTCAAATAAACTATCATTTATGTTATTCTCACAGTAGATATGTCATCTCATTCTCACAGTAGACTGTCAATTGGACCAAAAAGGGTAAGAGTAGTTTTGCCAAAAGGAAAAAAAGTTACATGATACTTATATTAAGACAAATGTACCCAAACTCCTCAGAGCTGGTGATATTGATACACTTGTACCTTCTAACAGTGCTTATGTGAAGTACCTGAGTAGTAAGAGAACTGCTCTGATTGATAACACCAGCATGGAAGAGTGGGCTGCACCTCAGTCTCTTCCCCCAGCACAGTGAGAACAACAGTCTGTCACCGCTAACAAAGGATACACAGGGTACACAGGGTTCTATCCAAAGATACATCTACCTGCAAGTCCAGATGATGTCCTAACTATCCTAACTATGCCCCAGAGACACATAACCAGGGATGGGGGAGGGG